ACTGTCAACTCTGCCAACCAATTTAGACTTTTTTTCTCCAAAAGAAGGGCTTGTGCAGCCTCAGCCTACATCTGCCTGGAAGGATCCTGAAACACCTCACTGCCTCATCTAATTACATCTTCTCTCTTCTGAACAACTCGCCTACAGCATTCCAGACCTTAACCTCTGGCCTAAGATGCTCCCTGAATAATAAGATGAAGAAATAAAGTAGCCATTAAAGGCACTTGCTTGAAGATAGGGTTAAGTTCTATGGTTCAGACTCAGTCACTAGCTGGCTCTGTAATCAGGAATCCTCAAGCATCAGAGTACCATTGGCAGGGCACGGCTGGGGCAGGAAGGGTTTTAATTAGCAAGGGCTTTTGGCAAAATGATGATTCTTGCCCCTTTCTGAGCATCTGATGGCCAGCAGTGGTTAGGCACTGCAGGGTTCACAATGAGCCAAAACATGAATAGCACTGACAGGTGGGTGGTCAGAGAAGCTTGTCTGCTGGTACTCATTCCCCTTTTGTTGGTCCAGGGTCAGTTCTAGAAAGCCATTCATCCATTGATGAATACACATTAAATACCACGTCTGACACCCATAACTGTTTTTTACCATGTATAAATTTTGATAAACGCTTTACAAAACCATACCTAGATGTCTCTTCTCACTTACAATATATCTTTAGCAAAGAACCAAGGAAACATAAGCTATAACTATAAAATCTATGGAGGAAATGCATTTTGTTGTCACCGATAGTCTTATCTGCCAAGAATAAAAGACCTTTTCAATCAAAGTCAGACGTTGTATAGTCCCGAAAAAAAGCTACATCTTCAAGGTTTAGGTAAACCAAATACTAGGTAAAGGAAAGCTTGAATCACTTACAACTTGAAGGCACCAGTTTAAATCCAGACTATTTTCTAATCACTTGGGAGTTCCTAGTTTCAGCTCTGAAACCAGAATTGCAGCTGAATTATTATTAATAATACAAGTTTACTGTTCTTCTGTGAGTGCAAGTTAAAACCTCTGCTTCAGAACCTCCTGTCCTGAATAAACTGCATTAACTCCAACTGTAATAGGTTTGGATTTTAAGATCGTAATGCTTATAAACAAGACATCAAACATCTCACATGAAGACTTATGTTGTACTTTTGCTTTTAATGTACAGTTATTGTTTGTTTTTGTCTGTGTACTGTGATTTACCTACATTTCTTGTGCATTAAGTGTGAATATTTGTGATGCTTTGAATTTTTTAAAAGCACTTATAAATAAAATGCATGATTAAACTTGCAGTCAGAAGTCAAATTAAACCTTGAGAAATGTATGTCAGGCTTAATATTTCAGTATCTCTCAGAAACCAAACAAATGGCCTTTTGTCTTCAAAGATTGAATGTGCATTAGAGGCATTTTCATGAGTCTCCAAAACAATTTTCCTACGTCTGAATTTTTATGAAAGACCTTTTGGTAATGAATGGTATAATTCATTCATAAGAAGGTAGTTTTAGTTTATTCAAACATAACAGACATTTCCATGGGAAAAAGACCATTTGTATAGTAAAATTTATGAAACCCTAATTTGAGCCAGATTTTTCTACCATTATCATGATTAATGATCTACAGGTCAGACACAACCACACCAAATCATAATCCTACCAAGGAGTTATTTTAGGAAAGAATGCAATGTGTTTTATCTTTCAGGCAATAGGACTGTGATTGTACTGTAATGTAACAGCGAGTTCTGTTCATGAAACGTTTGCTGTTCACATCAAATGAAAACATAGCAAGATTTCTATTACAATAAGCAATGCCATAAAGATGCATTACATACTATCAAAGCTTGTAAGACTCATTTTCATACAAGACAAGAATTTTATCTGGTTGTAACTGATGTCATTGAATTCATTGGGTCATATTAAAAACTTGGTAGTTTTTTTTTCTGTTAACTGAAATGTCAGCAACAATAAACACTTCTTAACTGAGCATCAATGTAAGCTATATCTTCATCAAAAAGATAACCACCATAAGCCATATGGCATACTATCTGACTGTAGGGGATTTCTACATGCTTAGGGAACCTTTTTTAATTATACAATACAATGCCTAACCTCAAGATTGCTTGCATCCATGGTGATAATCATCATTCGCACAGCACTGAAGTAAAGTGGTCAACAAGTACAGCTGAGTAAAGTAAGGCCGACATAAAATTGCCTGCACTGTTTCTGGGAAATTAGTTCTGTGATCTCTTTCAGTGTTTTCAAGCAAATGAAAACTATAGGAACCACAAAATAGCAGCGTCAGAGGTAAAAGACTGAACATGAGGGAACACTGTCAAAGGCTACATAATTATTTATCCAAAGCTTGACAAGTATTTTTTGTCAAGCCCTAGTGTGTATTATTACTGTTACCCTGCACATGCAGAACACATCTAAATGACAAAATGCAAGCCTAACACCGAAAAGAACTAAAGCTAGATTATTAGATGCAGGTTGACACAAACTGATGTTATACTGTAGCAAAAAAGTCCCAAACCATACGTATTGGTCTGCTTCCATTGTTCAAACTACACTAGAATATTTCTATAAAAATGGCAAAATATGGTGCTTTCCCACTGCATATAATACATCCACTGTGAATTCAATTATGTGGCTTCTTTTGCCCAGAAATGTTAGTGACTAAATTCTGTGCCAAGCTGAACTGAAATGCCCTCATAAAATACCATTCTGATGTATCAATAGAGTAAGCAATGGCCGTGTATTGAATTGCACAGCTATATCCCCTTTCTTACAGCCTGGGCATCGACAGCATAATTCATCACGATTTATATTGTTTCCACATATTATCTTCTTCTTGAAAGTTTTTTTTTTTCCTTAAGTGATTTCATTCTACTGTAACGGACTAGCACAATCCAGGTTGAATCCTGCCTTGCGCCCAGTGCTTGCCAGGACAGGATCTGGCTCCCCCGTGACCCTGAATTCAATGAAGAGGATGGATGGATGGATTTCATTCTAATAAAATGTATGGACTGCATATACTTTACACAAAACTGCTGCAGAATGGCTTCCAGCAATTTTAGACACAACAGATAGGAATCCTAGATTATCTTAGAAATACATGGAATTTTCCAGTAAGAGTTAAAATGGTTGTGCAGCACTGTAACTTTATTTGTTAGGAGGTAACTCTGAACCTTAGGAAAAATGAAATGCCTGGAAACACAGCCTCATTATTAGCAACTAAAAGTTGGAATGTGTCCACCAGTAATTGAAAAAATACTGATGATGTGAAAATGGAGAATAAAATTGCGTTACAGACACCTTTTTCATAGAAATCATTCTGGAAATTACTTCTAACACCAACCAACGTTTTCAAGAGAACAACTTTTCTAAGATTTGTTTTAGTTTTAAGAAAATCATGGGAAGGCCTGGCTTCCAGCCCTGGGTTTCCATTAACTCTTGTTTAGACTGAGGCCTAGTTTATATCATTATGCTTCCAAGTTGCTGTTTTTGCATAGGCTTCTACTAGCCAAACTGTTCTGCTTCAGTTAAGACATTTCCAGAATGACACTTTGTCCATGGAGAAAGAAATGCTCTGGGATGTGTTTCACAGTGCATGTCAACAGGCAGGACCCTTCTTCAGTTTTCCATTAACCATTGGAGTGACTCCTTTTACAATGATTTCTTAGAGCCACCACCTACAATCCCCAACCAGTCCAACCCAGCTAATTCATCTTAGCCACCCATTCCTTTCATTCCAAGAATAGCTAAGTTACTTTTCTTCACTACCTTTAGGCAGAAAAGTCATTTTCAGAATGCTCCCACTTACTGAGATTACAGCAAACATAATGCAGGACCAAAAACAGTCTAACAGAAGTACTACAAGACAACTCTATCTTCAGGCCAAAAGAGAACCTCAATTAACATTAACTTAACAAACTCAGGTTTTGGGGCGTTTTCATGGCAATTTTTCTCAAATGGGGCTGAAGTCAGTACCCTGGATCACCGAGAGTCAAATGGAAACAAGTCACACAGCATAAACAGTTTGGAATTTAAAAGGGGAAGGCAACCATTAAATTAATAATCAGGTCATTTATATATATATATTAGAAACAAAATTAGGTGAGCAGCCATTTTTTGATTCTGCATGTCCTAGATGATGAAATTACAATGGACAACATTTTGCTCTTAGTAATCCCCCTTAATTTCCATCCATTTATATTGGTGTAAGTCATACAGATAATCACAAAACCAAAAAAAAGGTATAAAATCAAAGCAATTAGAACCAACAGAAAAACTCTAAGGCAGCAGAGCACGAAACAAATGGCATCTCTTCAAGCCTATTTTACATTACCTTATTTTTCTCATAAGTAATGAAGTAATGTACATATTTAAATATGCAGAAAATAAAAAGTAGGTCTAGGCTCACAGAGAAAAAAATATGCATTTTAAATTGGTTCTTTAAAGGGTGTATGAATTTCTTATAACATGAATATCCTTTCAAAATGTTGTCAACCATTCAACAGGTGTTTAGGGCCATCTGCACCAAAGACAGATTAATTCAGCACATAATGGTCAATTTCTATATTCTGCATTTCATCTAAGTGATGCACAAGTAGTTACAATTTTTTTTTCCAGCTTCTTAGCACTGTGATGTTGCAGTGTATGCAACACATTTACTGTCTGCTAAACAGTCAGTCAATGTCCTGCATTTCCACAATGTAACAGATTCACAACTACTTAGAAACAGTTCTCAGCTTAACAATGTGCAGTTTGTGTAACAAACCTACTCTCTGCTTCCTAGACATGCCAAACTCAGCATGATGGTTATTTTAAACAATCTCACACTCTACTCTACTTTTGTGAGAAGCTACTGTACATATCGAGTAAATCTCCTGAAAGCCCGAGTTACTTCCACGTGACTACAAAGTAATGTAGTAAAAAGTCTAGTTGAATGCAAAGGTTTATAAAAAGTTTAGTTTATTGTAAAACAAGTCAAAGTTCATGGAAAAGGACATAGAGGAAATTACCTCGTTTGTGAAGCCATCCCTCCTTCACAATCACAACCTCATTCATATTGGCCCACGGGGATAAGTGTTCAGACAGTCTTCTGGAAGACGCCTCTGTCCAATTCTGTTCTGTGCTCAAACCAAGGAGGAAACACTGGAGAAGCCTGTTCCTTTAGTAATCTATTGGATTAAACCACAAAAGGACAAAAATAAAAATTAACCCCAGGTTCAGGTCAAACATTTCCCTTCCATCCACATATTAACACCCAAGCAACCTTTTGCACTCCTTAGAGAAACAGTATAATGTAAGACTTATCCATAACTTGAAACAACCATCCGTGTTCACAATGTTTATTCTTAAAGCACAAAAGAAAAGTTGTTAATTTAGCCTTGCTAAAACAAATTATGGTGAACGGGATCACAAGAAACAAAAAAACACGACCTTCTCAAAACGCTTACCAAGGATTAAATGAAGTCTTTTGCAGTAGATGGAAATTAATTATGACAGCAGTGTAATAATTTGAACAGGCTTTCATCCAAGGAAATGATCGTTTTGGCTGATGATGACAATATCGATTTATTTTAAATAGTTGTAAATTAATTTAAATAATGGGGTACTGTTAAAATCCAACTGCGACTATAGAAAATTCTATGGAAACCTGTCCCCATCCTTCATCACAATTCACTTTCGTTGGAGGTCTATTTTATTGTTATTGACAAGCTACACCAACAGGAAACAACACATTGTACTGACCTATTGATAGACTGTCAATAAGTCACATCACAAGGCTGGGGCTTATTCCTTTCTTATGAACCTAGAACCTAAAGGTAGCTTTTTGCAACAGAGGTGGTTATTATGATGTTGTGAATTATTACTGATCCAAGCTAAGGCATTCACACAGAGAAATGTGAGAGGCAGAAGAAGAAAATAAACTTCATTATTTGCTTGGTTTTCAAAACATGCCCCATAATTGTTCACTCTTAGTACATGAAAGTGCATTTAAACATGAGAACAGGAGATATTTCTCACCCAGAGGCTTGTGGGCGTATGGCACAAGCTACCTAACCATGCTGTTGAAGCCGATACTAGATAATTTTAAGAAACAGCTGGATGAGATCATTAGACCAATTAGTTACTGACTATCAAATGAGTTAGATGCACTGAATGGACTCCACTGGTTTGTCACCTTTCATATGTTAGTATGTGTCAAGAATCTGGGTTCCCTTAAAATAGTTTTAAGCAGTTGGCGTAACCACTCCTCTTTAACTGTAAATATGGAAGAAATGTCTAAACAAATGTTAAACTGAGCTCCTGTTCATAAACAGGCTTCAAAATTAAAGAAACAAGACTAAAGCTACAGTTGTTGAAATATTGTTGCAATTTAAATATTTGAAGCATTTTTTAATTCCAGTGAAAAATGTTTTTACATATTGTTCCACATGGTCTCAACTGCATTAAAACAGACTTTACCAGGATAAAATCTGGAGAGGCTATGACCTTTCATTCTTAATACAAGCAATAAGAATGATTTGGCATTAGTGCCAAAGCCAGTATCTCTGCTAGGAACTAAACAGAAGATTGCAGTTTTTCACTGGGCACAGAAAATGCTGCAGAATAGTTTTTCTGCTGCCCTGTAAATATTACCTCCAAAGAGTGCTGCATTAGCTTTACTGACAACTCCCGATAACATTCGACAGCAAGCATCATTTCACAGAACATTTCCTCTTGAATGTTGATCCATGCCCATCTTAGATTACATGTAGACGTAACACTTTAAGAGGAGTACACGTTTGGCGACAAGCATAGGTATGTTCTCCTTCCTTCAATGTTCACATAACTACAGAGAGGAGATTGAGTCATACCTACTGTTGTATATTTACATGCCACAATACAAACATGTTAAAAGGCCACATCCACTTCGGGAACTAATAAACTTCCCTGGGTATCCAGCATTGCTTGTTTTTCTGGTTTTCTTTTCTTCCGTTTAACCAGTGCATCTTATCTCCATGTCTAACCAGCCCTCTGAGAGAATTTTAAAAATTCACCTTCTCTTTAAAAAAAAAATTAAAATGGCACTCCAATTGCTGCATTTAAAATTTTAATGAATCTAAGAACTCTTTTGTTGTATATATATTCTGTACTTCTGTTACAATTACCAAGCACTTTCAAAATTAACTGTTAAGAACCAATTCAATATAGAAAATGGGCGAGGCCCATTTCTGCATGTAGTGCACAGAAAGGTAAACAAGTAGCATTTTGACACCATTTGCATTACAGGAAATTATCTGTGTTCACTAACCTATCGATGACCTTCATTTTTCCGTTACAGCACACAACAAAGAAGCAACTTAATCAACTTAATATGACATGACTAGCAATATTTCGGCTGTGAAATTTCATTTTACTTTATCAATAAGCTGAAAACCACTTTTACTTTAACAAGTAATAAGTCAGAAGTATCAGAAAACAGGCAGTCCCATAGTACGCTACCAAGACCTCACTCATTTTTACCCATTTTTTAAATGTAATTATTTCAAATGGTAATTTCAATCAATCCCATGAAAATCCAGCTGAGGACTTTTTTTTACCCCTTGGCAAAATCAGCTTCAGCTTCAGTTCTCAACTCCAGCTAACTTATTCAAACCGAATTAAAGTTAAAAAGTGTCCTGCCATCTTTGCCCACCAACACAGACATTATTCCTCCTGCTTCTATTAGTATCACTTCTCAATGACTAACCTATCCTTAATGGCCCACCTCATCCAATAAGTGTGCTACTGTGTTATTGATAGCCTGTTAGCTCAATTACCACATGAGAAAATCTCAAAAGGTGCCACAACTAAAGGATTATAGAGTAAATACTGCTTTAGAACTCAACAAAAGTTTTGCATTTTGCAAGCTCAAACTTCATAGGACCTTCATGGGTTCAAAAAGGAGGCTCTATACAGCTGGTTTCAAATGCCTCACAGAGACTGCTGCTTCACGACTCTCCCGTACCCACAGAAAGGAACAACCTGTTCCCTTGGTTATCTGACTTGGTTATTTCACAACACAAAAAGTCCCACCGTGTCATGCTACAGTTCTGATAAATCACCAGTCCAAGTTAAATTCAGATCAAACAGCAGGATTAGAGTATTCCCTGGCTTTCCGTAGTGTACTGCACAGTACATGTGTGATGTGCCAGGATGAAGGACTTCGTGTGCTGTGATCACTCTACTTGCTGCTGCTGTGTGAGAGCTATGGAAAAACTGGGCAGCTGCCAATGTTCACCAGGCACTTGAATAACCCTCCACTTTACAGGAGGTCACACGGGCTGAGATACGGCTGTGTGACTCAGAGCAACCAGAAAAAAAAAAGCCTGCAATCACTTCATTCATTCACATTTTTGTTTCCATTTCTGAGCCAACCGGGTTTTCCACTGCTGTGAATCTTTATCTCACAAAAGACACAAGGACAGCTGCAGAAGTCCTTTTTAATGCAGAACCAAAAAGGAGCTCTCTTTTACAGCTCCTAGCACTTTGGATTTGTCGTTTTGCTGTTCTTAAGCTATTCTTCTGTGAACAGACTTTGAATAAACACAACACATGCAAGTTTCCCATCTATCACTAAGCCACATCAGTGCCGAACACACAGAATGATGTTTTTTCTACCCGATGCAGCTTCTTAAGTGATTATATATTTCAGTTCATACATCAGCAGAAAAAAATATTTTAAATAGTCTTCACATGACCTAACGCGTGAGCTAAATTGGTTAAATTTTGAAATAACCAGTTTTTCCACTAGTGCTGATAGACAAGATAAGATACGTCATGCCTACAATGATGATTTTTTTATTCTTCCTCTCCGCGTTTCCCGTTTCTCCAAATGTAGCCAATTTCGGTAATACGGGGAGAGTAACTTTCTTTTGAATGAACCATATTGCTTTTCTTACACGGTAGAAAGACATGCAATTCATTTTGCTTTCACTTTCAATACACCCTCTTCTCACAGAACGAATCCCACTTTTCACCTCAGAGGTGGACTCGGTCGGTGGAAGACTGCTGGCTCAGTTCAAGTTCTATGGGAGGTACTCACACCCACATCATCCGTGGGTTTTCATTCTAACTGGACTCTTAAGTTACTTAAGCGACTTAATTCGACTGCTAATGTGACTGATCATACATTTCAAATTGTTCTCTGCTCCTACAATGATACAGTTTACAATCTGGACATTTAAAATCTTCCAGTTGCACAGCTGAAAGTTAAAAGTAAATGGTTATATAGTCAAGCCGAGGGTTTATTAAATAATCAAAAACTCAGATGAGACAAACAGCAGACAAAGAGGTCACAATGACCGTTATTGGAAAGCCCTACACTCACTTAACTCTGGTCATAATTAGATGTGAAATGTTAGTGGGAAGAGTTACTAATTCAAAATTTCTGATGAGAATTTCACTGCATAATGCAGGATGGCGAGCAGCTCTTAAGAAGTGAAACCTAATGTATCAAGAAGAACGTAAGGCAGACGGTGACAAGGTTTTATCATTGAAAATAGTTTCTTGAGACCATTCAAGAAAATATCATGATGCACGTCTTGTGACTGGATTATCAGAGTACAGATCTTACTGCAATCAAGTGTTTCATTCATCAAGAATTCCTTAAACACTACTCAACTACAGGCTTTCTGGAAGGCTACTTGGCCTTGGCCATATACAAAGCATGAGCGTAAACTTAGTTGTAACTGCAATAAATGTACTGAGGTATTAATGACAAAATGACAACTGGCATCAACAGGGTGTGAACTCTGAAAGTCACAGACTAGTACTGTGTGGCCATCTCTGGACACAATACAAGGTGTATATCTGAGATGCATGCTTTGCACCATGTTACAAATGCTGCCTCACTGCTCTCATAGGAGAATGATGTGCCTCTTCACTGGTCTCAAAAGGGAAAAAAAATGAAGAATTTTACATTTACATTTAGTTATACAGCATCATTTCTTAATTTGATTTTTTGTAAACAGGCAAATATAAACTACCAGTAAATTAAAAAAAAACAAATACCACACTCTCGTGAAATTCTGATATGGCCTCACGGCAGATGTCCAAAAAAGAACAACTCCATTGACACAGATGCTATACACAATGACTTTTGCACTGTAGATATTGGAATAGATATAAACAACAACCATAAGTATAAAAC